AGTGTCGATCATGTCTGAATATTTTTTCTACATATTATGTCTCCACATGTTTGTGTTGAATATGTGTAAACACTTGTATCCGAATATTTCTAGTTTGCRATGACATCACAGCATGTAATGCGCAATGTTAATACGTTGGAATACATTATATTAAACGATGGAAGATGATCACTAAAGATGAACACTTTCTTTTGTATTTTACAGTAATTAGTAAGAAAAAAAAACCTCTTTTGTTTGACAATGTTTCTGTACTCAGGTGTATATTCTGAAATAGTCCATTTCGTTGTTAGTTTAATATTAGTTGAATTCGATTTTTTTCACCTTGTTTTCAGGTCTTTTCTTATGWATTAAAACCAAATCAGTTTGTTCTAGTATTTTCTTTTGCTGACACAGGATGACTTCTCCAATCTGATTTTGACAGATATCACGCCTTCTCTCACCAGTATGTTGAGATAAATTATCTTTTGGAAGTATTTAATTTTAGGTTGACTCGAGGGCATTAAGAAATATGACAACTCATGCAAAACATTTTTTTCTGGTCAGTCACGGGGCCGTTATGGAATTTTGTAAAACAAAGTTTTTTTTAGCTTTTAACGAAGCTTTCATTTTTGTAGCCTAATCCTCGATTATTGTAATACACCTTATTCCAAAATGGCTGACTAGCCCTTGATGTCTCGTTTTCATGAAATTGTTCCTTTCTTTTAAAGTCACTCAAGCTCAAAGATAAAAGAATAATTTTATGAGAGTGAGACAACAAGGGCTAGTCAGACATTTTGGAATAAGGTGTATAAACGGCGGTTTGTCGATCTGTCGGGTTATTTTGAAAATCTACTCAGCTTTGGACCGCATATTTTAATCGAAAATTTATTTCAGGTGCTGTATGATATTGCTAGTATTGCTCTGTACTTAAGCTCACTATTTCAAAAATGCTATCATGACATTTGCACATATATTATATTATTAGTGTACACGGTGAGACGGACTTCGGAATATTATTCATCAATATGTTATTTAGCTGATTTTTTGCTCTATATTTTCTATATAATTCTTAGTATTTATGATGTTATGGATCGAACAGATGGTAGCTCATGCTCTAGTGATTCTTAACCCTTTCCACTGTACTCTCAGTTTTCTCCCTAAGTAGCCAGAAGGAGCCGACGGGGTCTGTATATTTAAATAACTGTTTTTTGTACGAATTTTTTTTTCCTGTGAAAGGGATTTTGAACTACATTGTTGACAATCTCACAAGCAAATGTGGCACCCTTCCTTCTTGAAAATAATTTTGTTCCAAAGGCTTATATATTGTTTATGGTCAAAAACGGCTTATATTTTTTTAGTAAGGAATTTTTTATTTTCTTGGCAAACATTCTTAGAAAGTATTCCTTGACTGGAGAGTTATGTTTTCCTGAATTTCTCGCTGGCAACCAGTTGTGACTTACAGCTGGCTGGGACATAAGAACAGATATATTTCTCTCAGGAACCCGTCGGCTCCTCCTAAAGTGCATTATMATCTCAACAATATGCGTTTGCCATCTGTATCCTTTATTTCTTAAGAACATCACGTCCCTGTTCTTTAATTTCTTTGCTTTTTATTAAATTAATAACAAACTTCCGTCCAAACTCTTCAAATTTTACTTAAAAAGCAATGTGTCGGTCATTGTATCATACTTATTTCACTACYTGGCAAATATAGAACGCAAGCGCGTGTCTCTATCGTTTAATATAAAGGCGCGGTAGGAGATGGGGAGCTCTAGAGATGCAAACCTAGGGAGATAATTGCAGCGAGTTTTTCTATTGATCGTTTTTAACTATTTCTGTGAGATTCAAAGATAAAAGACCGGCGGCCATGTTGGAGGAATGAACAAGAGATACAAAATCCTTTGTTGAAGATCCTCCAAGATGGCCGCTGTGACGTAGCTTGAAAACGAAGAATTGCTTTTCGATTGCCATCCATCCCCCACGCAGTGTTTATATCGAAAGACAGAGACACAAGCGGCCGACTTAATCTGTTTAAAACATTGTTTTCGGGCTCATCGAGTGCGGCAGCAGTAAGGCATGTCTGCTTCCTTTATTACAAATACAGTTATCGCTTATTGAGAGCGCGCGTTATTTCTCAAAAAAAAATTATAAATGAAGTTTAAGCGAATTAGCCTTAAGTCACATYTATCTCTTTGATTGATTGAGAGTCGTGGTTCTCTCAAGATATTTTTGAGCTAATCGGATTCCATTATATCATTTGTGAGGGTGATACATAAGTGGTCACACATGACTCATATCGTAACGTCGTGTTTACCTATTTCTAGGAACTGATCGGAAATGAACAGGGAACTTTAGGTATTGGCCATGATTAATAATAAAAAAGTCGTGGCGTCTTCCTTAATCCCATGAAAAAAAGTAATAGAGGGCTCATTTTCATTTGATACTATTTAAGGAGATCTCTCTCTAMTATTCAACTCTGTTCGGCGCTAGCCAGCCTTAATGATTAAAAAAACACAAAACTTTTTTCTTCAAACAATTTGAGCTGCCATTTTTTTAAAGGGTTGGATGATGGGAAATTTAGTTTTTGCTCTCTGTTTGCATTTTGTRCTGCGAACAGACCCAAACTCTCTAGTTGTTCGAGAAGAAGAAGGAGAAGAAGAAGATAAAGTAAAAAATATTGTAAAAGATATGGAAAGCTCTAGCGCTTAGCGAAATAATGCATCTGGAAATAGTGAATTAATTCATGAAAGTAGCCGGAAAATAAACGCCGATCTAGATTTTGATGCGGAAAATACAAAAATCAATATCGAAGATCATTAAGTATTTCGTTTATGTGTATTCAAGTACTTTTAGTGGTATATATTCCACCTAAAACGTGCTGGAATCTTCGAGAAAATGGTTTTAACTTGGTTGAGAACAAAACACCAAATATTTATTTTTAGTCGATACAACTTATGACCAAAATTTTTCCAGAGAGAATTAAAATATTTGTTAGTAAAAAGGAATGTATTGAACAGAAAAAAAGTGTTTGGCCTTAATGWACTTCTTTTGCTTTCCTTTTTGATTTTACCAAAGCTATTTAAAATGTTCCCTATTTCTCTTTGACAACATTTTTTGCAAATTAGGTGTAAATATACAGCCAACATATATGATATAGACGAATTGTAAACCGATATTTCAAAACCTTGTAAAGATCTTACCTTAACCAAAAGATGTTATAGATCTTCCTCTTTSCCTCTTCACATCTCAATTTGACGGTGTGGCTAAACCGTCTTCGCGTCTATCGTACAGTAAATATGACACCACTTTGGATTAACAACTTCTCCTTCTTTTTGTGGGGATATTTTGTGTATTGCTAAAGCCAACCATTAAGGGATTTGTCTTAGGACTCGCAAAAGCGGCTTGGTTTGGTCATGCAATCGTTTAGATTGATTCCAATTTCTCTCGATTGAGCGGACGTGYGTCAGGGCTTTTCTCAACTCCAAACTGTAATTGATGTCACACTGATACTGTGAAAGAAAAAAAGTAAGAATCAATGAAAGAAGAATTGTTTTAATGTAAATATTGTGCTATATTTAATCCTATTGTCACGTTTAAAGAGAGAATCAAAGAAAATGATCACAAAGAAACACAGTAAAGAGAGAG